ATAATCGTACAGTCCCAAATAAGGCCGTATAGAGTGGAATATTTTGCCAAAATAAATAAGCGTATATATACGATTATTCGGAACTTCAGAGTATTTACTCATAACGTTTTGCTCATTTTGCATACTTATAGCTGGTTCTATAAGGCAAAATAAAAAAAAACATCTAATTTTGAAGACTCACACAAGCTGCTCCATGGTTCCCAGAAGATGCTGCAATAAACCCATGTTGTAACTTGTTTTTCTGTTTTAAAACCATTAGTCCATTCAGTGCCCCACGTATTTTAAATGATCCTGTTACTTGATCACTTTCTAAAAAAGATCCATGAAAACCTCTGAATCAGAAGGGTSTTTCCTGCACATACCACATCTTACTGACTGCATGATAGCAGTTATACATCCAATTTAATGACTGGTTGTTCCCCTAAATTCCATGTCTGCACATTTAATCTACTATTAACAATTAATAACTATATTCCCAGTACTTAATTAAAAGAGTGTTGAGTTGGACAATAAATTAAAGATTATTATAATTTAGYACCTRTTTTCTACACATTAATTTATCAGTGCAGTACTTAACTATCCCGATATCTTGGATTCAAATATTGTTCATTGAGTTTATTAGTCAATAACTTTTCAAAATTTTGAAAATGTGCAGTTATTTCCCATGTACATATCATTTTCATTTATTCTTGTTGCAATATTTTTCAATATTTAAAACTTCATTTGAATAATGAATATTTGAATCAATAATGCAATATTGAATTCATTAATGATCACTATGTGTTCATGCGTAGTTGACTGTAAACAATTATCGGATTAGCCGACTTGCGAATTACGCATCAATAGTCACATAAAAAGGAATCAAGACGAGGCGCCGTGCTAAAGACAATAGATTTTTCACAAAAAAAGCACGGCGCCTCGTCTTGATTCCTTTTTATGTGACTATTGATGCGTAATTCGCAAGTCGGCTGATAATTGTTTACAGTTAATTGATATCAATCGACTGTTTTACCGTCGTGACTCGACGGAGCTTACCCCATTTGATGTAGACATTATTAAGCTCATCGCTGAGTGAACTTAACCAGTGCGAAAAGTCCAGTGGAGTATGTTGCACATGAGGACTAATCAGTTTGCTTGCTTCTCTGCATTKCTGAGCTAAATTCATACTTCAAAAACACTAGTAGGGAGTATGATGTAATGATGAGGAATGGACGGGAAATAATGTAGAAGTAATTTGAAAGAACATAGAGTACTTCCTCTGGTTTCCAGTAACAATCAGGGCTGGATAACTCATGAATAATTAATACGTAAGTATGACAAATGATTTTTGCTGGGAACGGGCTCCCTGTGGATTTACTGGGGCCGACAAGTGCATGTAGAAGGCATCAGAAGGCATGGCTACAAAGTCCAGCTGTGTAACATTTTCTTTCTTTTCCATTTGAGAATATACTAGGCTTTTGATTGCTCAAAAGATGATTGAACACGGGACAGATATCTTGGAATTCCTAAAGAATTTCCCAATATCTGTATCTATACTGTGTGTGATACCRTTTGTGATCCTYAGCGGGCCAGTTTCGTCCGTTAATGGTGCTCATGAATTTCCCGTCTTCAGAATGCAGCAATTTGATCTTCATCAAGTACCGGCAGGTGAGAGTTATCAACTCGTTTTTCCTCTTAGTCTAAATATTTGTTCATATAAAAGATAAACAATTCAATCTTCGAGTTGTGTTGCCAATTGGCGGCTTGATTACCTAAGTGTTTTATACATTATTGTTGGAGGGTTCATACTAAATAAGTGACCAAAGCAACCATCATGGGGCCATCATTACGGCATTGGAAAACAATAATTGCCAAAAAATTAATATTTGTCATTGTTAAGTTATAATGTGATCATGAATGGCAATCCTTTTGAGATTTGAAGATTTATATCTGTTATCTACATGTATTTGTAAAAGCTTAAAACAAATCATCACTATGTATCTCTGCTGAATGAAAATAGTGTTTAATGTAGGATTTCAAAGACAACTTTTGCTTTTATSRCACTTACTTTGCCYCAGCAAATTCTTAGTTAGAAAAAATATGACAGGGCTCGAAATAATGGCCAGACGGTTAGGTTAGRTTYATAATTACAAGTAAATAAGTGGACTTATTAATGMAGCTAGCATCAAGTGGAGTAATGTGTGACTCTTTTGTCTATGTTTGGTGACAAGGTTCTCGCAGTGCTCTTTTGAATATGGAAGCTAGACCATTGTCTTCTGAAGTCCTGACTCGGCGATGTGTGGTGACTAAGCTGTCAGAGTTGACAATAGATCGTTTTAGACAAGCAGTTGAAAGTGGAGCTGGTGGTTTTCTCATTCTTCTACCCAGACACTTTATGAACCTGACTCAAGTCCATTTAGAGGTACCACTTACATAAGAATGATGTTATTGTTAGTACACAATAGCATCATTTTTGCATGACTATCACAATGCTCTGTATTTTCAGTTGTGTTCATAATTTCAGATCAAACTCTTCAAAGAAGAAATCAGTCTACTATGCATATTTTGCTCTGTCTGAAGATGGATTATTACACACAGTTTAATAATAATCGTGTTTTGTTATAGGAAGTTTAATAATAATCGTGTTTTGTTATAGGAATGGCAGGTGTTAGAGAAAGAGCTTCTTTCTAAGGCAGTTCCTGTAGCAGTGTATTTTGCTTACCAAGATGACTACCTTGAAGAYTTACATAATCACATACAGGTTGCTGTAACTAGTGACCAGGCTGGCTCTGCTTTTGAAGGTAAGACTATTGAATGCGAAAGTGTTATTATTATGATTTAGTTACAGTTTTAATGAATTGTTTTCATACAGATATTCATATGTAAAGACATTTTTAACTCTCTACATAATTGTAAAGCACATACCATTAAGCATACAGTTGTGTAAAAAGATCAATATTGCTGTTGGACACATGAACGTTAGGTGTGAGCAGAGCACTGTTACAATCAATACAAGAGACTTTATGCAGAGCTTTATTAATAACATGAGGAGGATAGTTGCGATTAAGGGATGCATTTCCATGCATTTGTTAGAAAAGTCATTAGCGTCGCTACGCAAGCAACAAAGATGAAGAAATTGAGAGAAAGGCTTGTCTCGCCAATAAGATATTTGCAGTTTGCACTAGATCATGTCAAACACACAATGTTGGTTTCAATTTGTCTTGCTGAAAATAAATGATGGAAGTTGAGTGATCAACAGCCCTGTTTTTTTTTATCTCTTTTTATCCCTTTTACTAGTTATCCACAATGCCGGATGTTTCTATAGCTCATTGATAAAAAGGATCTCATCTTGATCTTTTAGTTTTYTATCGGCTAAACATCATTGATAGAAAGCATCATTCCCATATGTGTCTGCCCTACTGATCGCTGCAGCACCATGAGGGTCATTTCACAGTGTTTGGTACGGAGGGGAGATTTCCATTGATTGTATCTCAGGAACTATTTTTAAAGGTTAAAACCTTTAAAAATATTGTATATCATGGCCACCTATTATTACTACACATATACATGGAAAGTATACACATATTTGATGATGCTTGCATTTGTCACAATAAAAAATGTCAAGTGTTATGGAGGGTTCAGTGACATCAACTATTTAGTCAGTAAATAGACAAGTTACTACTGTTCATTTTTATCTTAATTCATGGTACAAGTGCATTTACTCTATATACATCAAGCTGGTCAGACAATGAAATTAACATTTTGAATTGTATAAATTTACATTAGTTTTGTAATCTCTGTTACTATGTGCTGAACAATGTGTTTGTTTAGCTCTTCTTGGTGTTACATCTGCCAGTGGATATCAACTGGTTTCTACAGCATCTGAATCCAAGCAGAAAAAAGACACAACTATCACTAATATGCAGGTAATAAACTAATATGCCACACTTTGAAGTATTTGTTAATTCACAGTGATTGYAAAGTATTCAGTCTATCAAAACCTTTATTCAAAGTTATTCTTTAAAATTTTGTGTATTGGGTAGTTCCTGAAAATATCCGTASCATACAATGGGCGACATTGATTTTGACATTGATCCCAAACTGTATTTTACTCCACTGGGAAATTAGTTCACCCCCTTGGAAATGAATGAGAATAAATATTCTCTCCAAAACAAGATAATTAACTCTAAAATCCGTAACTAAGAATAGAGAACAAAATATCTTTGAGAAAAGTAAATGTAGATACTTGTCGCGTGATAGGTGACAACCTAGGCTCAGTCTCCAGCCGTCGGGATTTCATGCGCCCGCGATACTCTCTCCCCTGACGGCTGGGCGCATGGGGTTCGAAACGTGTCGCGCATGTCCGTGACGTTTTTGTGTAATCAGCATATTATGACGTAACGGAAGTGAATTTTTCAGTGAACGGAAGTGAAATATCTGACAACAGCCGTAAAGGTTTTGCTACAAGGCGGGAAATTATGTGAAATGAAAACTTCGCGAAGTAGCGATATAATGTAATAGTTAGCGCTTTAAAAAAGAGAAAGGAATGGAAATTACCCCAAGTAAAACATGTGCAGGGTTTAATAATCCAAATGGATGTATTATCTGCCAGAAAAACGAGCAAAATACACTAGTGGCGCTGTTTGAAAAATAAGAGATTTGCCCGAGCCAGTATAGGAAGAATAACAAGGACATCTTTTCCAAGAACAATCTCTTTAAGAGCCTTTTGCTGTATTTCTCTAAATTCGTCCAAGCTAAACGACTTCAGAGCCTTCAAACAAGCACTTTCAAAGAGAATCTCAAACGACGAATTGTACGCCATTTTGTTACACTGCTGCCTGCTAATTTATTAATGATATGCCCCT